GATGGCGAAGGTTCTCGAAATCTTCTCTGTCTCCCTGCCCCCACCCTCTGCCTCTGGGAAGGGCCTGAGAGCCAGCCTTGCAACCCCACGTGCAGACGTGGTCAGCATGCATTTCCCGGCACCTCAGTGGGTCCGTGCCCCACAGATGTCAGGTTCTCTGGAGTCTGCAATAGCCTCAGGCAGGTTCCCATTCCTGCTGGTGGGGGGAGGGGCATTCTCACCAGAGGGCACCTGCAGGTAGGCACCCTCAAATGCCCTATGGGGATGGGTCGGCAGCTGAGGGGGTTCTGAAGGGTCCCTGAGGCCCATGACCTGTTAGCAGCTCTCCCTCCTCTTTCTCAGCCCCCTGGGCTCACCGTCCTGAGAGTCTGTGGAGAACGTTAAAAGGAGAGGAGGCAGCATCCGGGAGGCCACAAGCTTGACTACGCCCCTCGAATAGCTCTGAGGCCTCCAGCAAGATGCCTACTTCCCTGAACCTCACCTTCCTCGTCAATAAAACAGGCACACCTCACCACTAGCAGGGGGTGGTAAAGATGAGCCAGATGGTGGTGTCACACCCTCTATCTGATGGCAGCAAGTTCTCAACAAAGCTGGCCTGCAAGGTCACCATCGTGGCCTCTGTGAGTGCCCACTGAATGGATAAGAGGAAGGAGGGTCCCAGAGCCCGCGGCCCCCTGCCTGGCCCGGCACCACTCCGAACAGAGGCGCGTGCTGGGAAAGAGCGACAGCAAAGCCACAGGGGCCCCGGCCCTTTCTGCACGTGCCATGCTCCCGCAGGCCGAGCCTCTGCGCCCTGCACCGCGCCGCTGTCCCTGTTTGATGGTGAGACGGCAGGCCAGGCTGGCGTCACACCTATTCTCAGTGCGGCTGCTGGCTGCCGGCTCCCACTGCAGGGCCCAGAGCAGGCACCGGCTCCTGCCCCCTCTGCTTTGCTCAGTCCAGTCCATTTCCCCAGAATCGGCCCAGCAGCTGTCTCATCCCTGTGGCCACGAGGGAGCGGGGATGGTGCCTGGATGCCCATTGGTGTGCCAAGCTGGAGTCACGGGCGGGCAGGAGGAGCAGCCCCGCCCAACTAACAGCCAAGAAAAGCCCGAGGCCCGTCCCCTCTTTCAGGAAGGCCTGGCCCAGCGCTGGCCTTGCCCCTCCCTCCTGGGCAGACGGGGGCTGGCAGTCACTTTGGAAACCACTCTTGGGGGCAAATCCCAGCTCTGCTAAATATGAGCGTGAGCTGTGCCACCTCGGCCTTGATTTCCTCGTCTATAAAATGGGGATAATGATACCTATTCCCCTGGCCTCAGCTGTGAGTAGGACTAAACTGAGATGACACATGATCTTCTGGCGCATAGGAAATGTTTGTTGAGTGACTGAATGACTGACCAGAGGCATCATTCCAGTTCCAAAGGGCTTTGGGTTTGGGGCTGCAGGGACATGATAGTGACCCCTGGGCACTGAGGGCAACCACACAGGCCACAGAAATGGTGCCTGCCCCCACCCTGCCCAGCTCACCCAGCACCTCCCAGCATAAGGGTGGTCATGGCTTCTAACTGCAGGGGGATCACCAGCCCATATTTAAAAATATAACTACCCCATCCACAAAGTCCAAACCTGGCCAGATGCTTCACTTCTCCATGAGAAAGTGAAAAGGAGAAGCAATACACGCAGGCAACCATACAGCCACATCTCACAATCCCACAGCCTCAAAACCCACACAGCCCGAGACAGCCACCACACACCCCAAACACAGCCACGGCCACAGTCTCCCACGCCCCACCGAGGCTCAGCATACAGTCATTACCTACAGTCACAAAACCGCACATCCCTCAACCTCATCCACCTTCCCCCGCGCCCGCTCGCCACACATGCAGCAGGCCCAGCTCCTCTCACAAAGCTCACAGGTAGTTTGCCTTTTGCTCAAAACATCCCAACGAGCCCTGGCCATGTTGCTCAGTGGTTAGAGCATCTGTCCTTGGACCAAGGGGTCATGGGTTCCATTCCCAGTCAAGGGCATGTACCTCAGTTTCAGGCTCGATCCCCTGCCAGTCGATGTGTCTCTCTCACATCGATGTTTCTCTCTTTCTCTCTCTCTCTCCCCACCTCCCTCCCTCCTCTCTCTAAAAATCAATGGAAAAATATCCTCATCCTCGGGTAAGGATGAACGAACAAAGCCCATCCCACTGAAAGCCTAGTGCCTGGGCTGGCCTTGGGGTCGCTCCCCGGGCCTCTGCCCACAGGGAGAATGTGTATCTCTGCTCCTTTGCCTACAGGCGCACGTCAGCCACGGCAGTGTCTGTGGCTCCGCAGCAGCCTAGGCATCCCTCGCCCTCGTCTCCCGTTCTGGCCTGGAAGGAGGGCTAGGCAGCCGCAGGGCTCTGCGTGGTGGGAGACCTGCCAGGCACTTTGAGGTGCTCAGCCGGAGTCCCCACAGGGCCTTGCAGAGGGTGGCTGGGCATGTGCTGGGCCAGCCTGAGTGCCACTTGGGTCAGGGGCCCAGCCACATGCACGAGCTGCCAGCGCCCCTCCCCAGGCCCTGCTGGAGCTGCAGCAGACAGAAAGCCTGTGGGCCTGGCTGGGGGTCCCTTACCCGGCATTCCCCTTCCCCACCCAGCCCAGGACCCGCTGAGTCACTAAGGACGCGGGGCATGAGGTCAGCCCTGGAAGAAGCTGGCATGGTGGGACCTCAGGAGTCACAGGGGGTGGGTGTGGAGACATTGAGGCAGGTGGGGCAGGGGCCTCTGGCTGGCTGGCCCTGCGGGACCCATTGGTCCTATGAGAGGCTAATGGCCTGGTGGCCTGAGGAAGGAGGGGAGGGAACCCTAAGGCAGAGCAGGAGGCTCTGGGTCAGAGGCCCGGACCTGGGGGCAGTGCGAGGCTTACTCTCCAGGCCTGCAGTGGGGCTCCAGAGGCCTCTGGGGGAATGGTGGGGCCCTCAGGCCAGGCCCACTGGTTAGGTGAGAGGAGAGGATGGGAAAGAGTCCTGGGAAAAAAGGGATTGAGGACTGCGTGAGAAAGAAGGCACAGGGGAGCCAGTGACCACAGGCAGCGGGAAGGCAGCTCTGAGCCTGTGGAGAGCACCGGGCCCATGCACGCCTGTCCCGCTCAGGAAGAGTGACCGCCGTCCGCCATTGCCCCGGGGGCCCAGCCCCGCAGGGACACGTCAGCACAGGGCAGCAGCCGGGCCACTGACCCGAGATCCCGGAGTCCCAGACTCTCCCAGGGGCTGCTGCGGACCCGTGGACGCCCTGTGACGCTCAGCCAGGAGGCTCCCAGAGGCACTCAATGTCCAAACTGCAGAGGCACCCTGGTGACGCTGGCACTGCCCCTCCTGGAGGCTGCCTGCAGAACTCCCAGCAGGCCTGGGCAGCAGCGGGGGTGAGGGCCTGGAGCAACCGGCTGCTGGCCTAGCCCACTGCAGAGCAGGGAGGCCAGCCGGCCTAAGGGAAATGAATGTTCTTGCTTGCCCTGCTGGTTTTTAGACTCTCAAGACTGTGGATTAACCCACCTTCCGGATGTGGGCCGGGCAGAGCAGCAGCTCTCTTGATGAGGCCAAGAAGGGAAAAGACGGAGGCCAGAGCGGCCTGCTGATGCCGGCCGGCTGTGAAGATGTGCCCGCCAGCTGCCCGGGCCCCTCAGCTTCCCCATTGTTAACTGACGGGGGTTTGATAATCTCTAAGGTCCCCATCTGCTCAAACGTCCTCAGGTTTTCTGGAAAGATTGCATGGGACCCCAGAAAACAAGCAGCCCCACAGGCCCTGTGTGTCTCAGATGAAGGCCAGGCCTTAGGGCTGCCATCTTCCCATGGGAACAGGTGTACCAGCCATGGCACCTGGACTCAGTGCCCAGGGTGCCTGTTGGGACGGTGGGACCTCAGGCAGTCTATGAGCCTTTCTGAGACTCAGATTCCTGGAAAATGGAGAGCGAACCATTTCCCAGGAAAGCATGGCACAGGGGCTAACAACCCCGTGGGCACCTCAAGTCACACCTGCGGCTGCAACTGGACTGCAAACCCCCACCTCCAGGTGCAACCCCCGCAGCCCTGTCTGCGAATCCTTCTGGCCCAAGGTATTGGACTCCTCTGGTGCCAGGCAGTAAGGGAAGGTGGGCATGGAGTCACCTGCAGCCCCAGGTTTTCCATGTCCTCCCATGGATGGGGGTTTAACCAGCACTTTCAAATGGTGATAGAGGCAGCCTTGGTGAAACAAATTCGTCTTGAGACTAGAAGAGTAAACAAATGTGTAATTCATGGATTTGCTAATTGTTCTTCATTTTGATCTCCTGCCATATTTCCTAGGCTCTCTGACTGACATGCTCGTAGAGGAGAGAGAGTGCCGGGAGCGAGCCAGAGGCAACTGGCATCCAAGCCGGGCACCTGGACTCGCCCGCCTCCCGCCGCCTCCCGCCCCTCCCCCAGACACCACACAAGGCAGGAAGCCCATGGCACTCAATCTTTTATTTTCTTGAACTGTACACAAATGTAAAATACTTTAACAGCCAGTCTATGGGGAAATTGTTTGGTTTTAAATTATTATGAAACAGAACCTAAGGGGAGCTTTATTAAATAAACATAAAGATGGGGATTTAAAAATACACACCTGCGTTCTACCACAGTCATTTTTACTCTACCTTCTGGGTGTGTGAGGATAGAAAAGACTCATCAAACTGAATAAACAAAATTCATTTATACCCTGAAACGCTGGCAGGCCACTCAAGGGATTGTTCAGGACGTCTACCTCATAGAAGATGGCCTCACCGTCTAATAAAAATTAAAACTGATCTGTTGGCCTCTTTGGTTCCAAAATTATGTATAATACATTTAACTGTATTTTTTTTTTTTTTGCTGCTATAAAAATAACTTCTTTTTTCAAATGGCAGTTTCTGACTAATCATGCAACTAAATCAGTGCAAACATTAAAAGCAATCATTCGCTTTAAAAAGAAGCAAAGGATTTCATTTCAAGTATAAAAAATATAAAAAGTCTTCGAGTCCAGTTTGTCTAGTGTGGGTCAACCCTTTAAATTGCATAGTTCATATGGCACTTGGACACCTCGGGGTGAGCAAGTCAGTGCTCTGGCAAGGGCCACTTCTGGACAGCGCAGATGGGCAAGTGCTATATCGTGTGCATTCCGGCAGTCGGCAAGTGCTGGGAGGGCTGGTGGCAGGCAAGTGGGCGGGGCCATGTCCACGGCTAGCCCTGGTGGCCAGGGCCCACACTGGCAACTCTGCAAAGCAGCCGAAAGCCTTCCCCATCTCTCCGAGACCAGCTTAACTGTTTCCCATCCCTTGCCCCACACTGAGAGGGCATCCCCACCACCACCCAGCATTTCCAGAATGCCCCACCCTACCATTTCCTCCTCTGGGCTCACCCCTGCGCCTGGGGGTGATTTCCACCCCTCCCTAGCCAGTCCTAGAGGAGCAACCCCAGGGAAGGGAACAGATTGCAATTGTTTTCTTCCCATTTAGAACAATCTAGATTTTAACTTAAAAGATTATACCTGATAGAAAAGTCCCTTTTCAATTATACAACTGGAATGAATGACCTGTCAACTGCTAGCAATCAGTTAAAGCATCAAATTAAGACCCTTCTCCTCTCCCTCCCTCCCCACTCCCAACACAAGCACACGTGTAAGTCAGGCCAGGGACCCCAGCCACAGTCAAAGGGCCACTGCCACTGCTCCGGTCTCTGGTGGGCTGAGTGCTTTCTGGGGCTCCTTTCCCCTCTGGAGGGAAAGGACGGCTCCCCGGGTCTTGCAGCATGAGGGGTCCATGCAGGGAGGAAGCGACAGGAGAGGCTGAGGCACAGCAGGTCTTGCACAAGCAAAGGAGCTACGCAGCCCCTCTGCTACCCACACACTCCCACCCCCGCATCTGCTTTGCTCCCGGTTGCTTTCCGTGCTCCTGTGCACCGGTGCTCCCCCCGGCCGTGCGTGTGTGTGTGTGTGTGTGTGTGTGTGTGTGTGTGTCTGTCTGTCTTTGTGCTTTTATGTGTGCTCCGAAGGCGCGATTCAGAGTGGTCAGGCCAGCTGGTGGGAATGGTGGCTGCTCACCCCATTCTCTCCAACTGACAGGCATTTGTAGCTAAACTGCCATTTGTCACCGCATCCATTTGCTGGTATTCCGGAGGCTGCTGTGTGGGTGGTAGAATGCTGTGCGTGTCTACGTGTGCATTTTAAAGTATTTCGTGTCAGTTAAGGGTTCTTGCTCTGCCTCTGACTGATTGCTGGATGAAGTAGAAGAGAAATATCTCAGGCTTCACCCTGGCGCCTTCTGGGCAGCCCGCTAAACAAGAGCACTCGGCCCACCGCGCACACCCTTCCCGCCGGGGGCTGCGAGAAGCCCATCAGGGCCGCCCTGGCGCCCCGCCGCCACAGCCCGCCGCCTCAGGCACAGCCACACTCCTCCACGATCATGTTGGGCACGTCTCGCTTGACGATGTTGTACTCGTCATCGAAGTAGAGCATGGACATGGTGCTCAGCTTGGTGGGGATGCAGCAGGAGTTCACCATGCCGGGATTCAGGCCCCGCATGCGGTACTGGTTCACCACGGCCGTGTGGAAGGAGGAGGCTGAGCCCGGGACCCCGGCCAGGTAGGCTGGGCAGCTGCCCTCACAGTAGTTCCCGTAGTAGCCGGTTGGCGCAATGATCCAGTCGTTCCAGCCGATGAGGCGGAAGTCAATGAAGAACTGTTGCCTGCAACAGAGGTTGGTCCGGCCGTCGCACTCCAGGCCCCGCTTGCGAATGCGGTGCCGGCTGTCCCCCAGCCGGGCCTGCACCACCACGAAGGGCCGGTGGGACTCCTCGCTGGGGTCCACGAACACGGGCGCCACGGCCAGCTCCTGGCAGCCGTCGCACTGCACGTCCAGGCTGAGGCGCCGCTCGCCGCGCTCGAACAGGGCCTGGATGGCCTCGGTGAGCGGGAAGGTGTGCCAGCCGCTGCGCTTGAGGTCCACCTTCTTCTCCACCACGTTCCACCGCTCGCCGTGGCCCTGCTCCTGGCAGTACACCTTGACCCGAACCTTCCTCCGGCTGCCCTTCTCCAGGGCGTAGGGCAGCAGCTTCAGGTACAGCCACAGGCTGGCCTGCACCACGAACAGGTTCTGGTTGCCTTCGTTGGAGATGAAGAAGTAGAGGCGGACGCGGGAGGAGGCGAGGCCATCTGCAGAGGAGCCGGAGAGCGGGCCAAGTTAGCTGGAGGAGAACACGAGGCAATGGGGGAAACGGGCTGCTGCGCGGCGCCGGAATGCTGGCTCGCAGCTGGAAGACGTTATTGACCAGAAATACCATTCCTCGGGCCAAAGCCTCTGGCTAGGACCTGGGAGAGGCAGGGAAAATCGTCTCCCATTGAGAAGCGTGGACCAGGTTGGAGCCGAAGAGCCCAGGCCTGTTAAAATCCTACCGCACCTCTCCCAGGCCAGGGCTCCCTGGAGACGGGCCGTCAGGCCTCAAAGCTCCACAGAGGAACTTGTCAAGAGGCCAAGGTCTTAACCAGTTGTTATTGGTATCTGTGAAATCTAAAAAACAAAACTAGGATCACACTGGAAATTTGGGGGTAGGCTGTCTTAGTGAAGTGGAGGGGTTTCGTTTTTGTTTTGTTTTGTTTTTGTTAACTTAAGGGCATTGCAAAATCTAGCCGAGCCACCTACTGCCTCTTTCCAGTGTTTACCTAAGAGGATCTGATCCAACCCACGGGGACCTCCACAGCAAACAGTGAGTCCTGCTCAGGTTTCTGACACAGGAAGGCGCCTGCAGACTGCAAAGTGCAGCCCTCGTTTCAGATTCATTAGTTCCAAGGGACGGGACATTCAGCCTTGAAACTGGAGGTCCACCCCTTTGATGAGACCCGGCTCCCCATTAAGGGCACATTCAGAATCTCCAAGGAAAGGGGAAGCTGGTTTATGGGTTTTCTCAAAAACTCAGCCCCAATGCCACTCCAGAGGTGATTCCTCTCTGACAATCTCTACTTCTTTCTTTTTTGTATTCTTTTTTTTTTTTTTCCAGGAAGAACAAATAAAGCAACTGTATGGCCACGGCTGGTTTTATCAAACCTCCTACCAGTGTCTCCCCCGCCACAGCCCCTCCTCAGGCCCGGCTGGCTCCTCTAATAACCCTGACATCTGACTTTGAAATGGGGGAAAGTGCAGCCTTAGAAGCTGGTCTTGGACGAGCTGCCTGTGACCTGAATCCGTTATTTATAAGTCAAAGAGCTGGCTCCACGAAACGGACCAGAAATATAACAGCCCCCGCTGTCATTTTGTGCCACCGCGACCAAAAGGCCTCCTCGGCCTTCCAGAACCACATTTCTGCTCCGGGCCCCAAAGCACCTTTTAATCCCGGCTCTCTAATTGCATGTGGCGCTTCCCCACTCGGCTGGACAGCTAACACGGCAATGCGTCTCTTTCTAAGCCCAGCCGGCCCGGCTGTCTCTGCTTTTCTCCACACGCGGCCATGCAAAACTTCTCACCCCGGCAGCACCAGCCCCGCTGCCTGTTGCCGGGAGGGTGGCAACTGACTGCTGGGGGAGGCATCTGCAGCCTGGGGACACAATCGGCCCCCATGCGAGGCTCCCTCCCACCCCCACCCTGACCGCACCAGGGCTTCCCCCTCTTGGACCTATTCCGCAGTCCCCACCGAGCGAGCGAGCGGGGCTGAGCCCAGGCACAAAAGGCAGCCTGGCTCATTGAAGTCCTGAAAAGGACAGCGAAGTTGAAAACACTCGCAGCAGTTGAACGTGAACACAATTTTCTTCTTCTAAAGTTTGGAAAGGTTTTCTCTCTCTTTCTCTCTCTCTCTCTCTCTCTCTCTCTCTCTCTATTTTCATATTTAGACAGTGGTAGAAATTGGCACTCCAAGGCCACAAGAAAATTCCAGAAAGGACTCCTACCCTTTGTTAACTACAAACTCTGTGGCTCTGGGGCCAGGGGGCTCTGGGGCCAGGGGGCTGCTGTGGCTGCCAGGCAGCCCAAAGGCATGGGGCTGTCCCCCGCGCGGCTTTCTCCGCGTAAATGATGGGACCTGTTGAGAAGCTCGCCTTCCGCTCCATTCCGGTGCCCACACAATCGGAAGAGAGGTTGCCTAGCTCTCCCTAGTGAGGCTTCAGCAATCCTGGCAAGCCCACGCCGCTGGGGATGGAAGCAGCCCCGGGCCTCTCACGCAGGCACACACACACACACACACACACACACTCACTCACTCACTCACTCACACACTCTCACACTCACTCCTCCGGCCCACTGATATCAACAAGAACACACATCTCCAGCCACACTGCTAAGCCTACACTCGGATCGTGGGAAACAAAAACATTAAGCAATCGCTGAGCAAGTGCGGCGGAGCCAGGCCCGCATGCCACTGCCAGGAGGGGGGCGCGCCCGGAGGCGCGGGGGTCGGGTTCGGAGGAGCAGAGGCGGAGGGCGAGGTGGTGGCGGCGGGGGCAGGGACGCGGGGAGGGATCTGCTCCCGGGGTTAGGAAGCCGGCAGCCAGGACGGCATGCACAGGGCCCAGAGCGGCCGGGCCGGGAGTCAGGTACCCAGGGCTCGCCGGCCGCGGGGCCGCAGGGGGCGAGAAGAAGGGGGGTGGGGAGGGATCCAGTGCCGCTCCCGGCCGCCAGCAGAGCCGACCCACCTGTCTCGGCGAAGCTGATGATCTCGGAGACTCGGTCCTGGCCATCGGCGCCCGGGCTGGCGTGGCCGTCGAGGTGCGGGATCTCCACTCGGCCGTCCTCGCGCACCTTGCCCGCGTGCAGCTTCCGCAGGGCCGTGACCATGGCGGCCTTGGGCACCGCGTGCGTGATGTTGGGCCGGCCCCGCATCTGCAGGCGGCTCAGGATGTGCCGCTTCACCGCCTCCAGGAAGTCGCCGTCCACCCGGCCCAGCTCCTCGGGCCTCCGGAAGCCGCCGCACGACGTGCAGGTGTCCGGGGGGCCGCCCGCGGCTCCGGGCGGCGGGGGCGGCGGCGGGGCGGCGGGCGCGGGCGGGGGCGTGGGCGAGCCCCGGGCCTCCGGCCCCAGCCAGCCGGCCGCAAGCAGCAAGAGGCAGGCGGCCCGCAGCGCCCAGCAGGGCAGCCCGTCCATGGTGCGCCGCTGGCGACGAGGGCGCCCGCCGCGAGGCGAGCCGAGCCGAGCGCAAGGCCGGGCTCCGGGCTCCGGGCTCCGGGCGCGCCGCCCCGCCCCGCCCCCGCCCGCGCCCTCCCGGGCCTCCGCCCGCCCGCCCGCCGGGAGCGCCGCCGGCTCTCAGGGGGAGGGGGCCGCCGGCCGCGGGGTTTCCGCGCGGCGGGGAAGGGGCGCCGAGGGCCGCGGGCACCGGAGAGGCGAGCGGGGCGCGGCGGGAGCCGGGGGAGGGTCACTGCCGCCCGGGCGCCTCGGGGCGCCTCGGTCTCTGCAGCCTGCTCCCCATCCTCTCCGCGTCGGGGCGCCGCAGTCCCCGCCCGGATGAAGCGAAAGCGGCGGCGCGGCCGCGGGGCAGGGCAGGTGACCACAGGGCCGGGGGCGCAACTTGGCCGAGACGGAAGCGAGGGCGCCGGAGCGGCGGGGCGTGCGGGGCGGCGCTGCGGCGGGCTCTGCGGCGGGGCCCCGCGCCCGCACCTGAGCGCCTGGCTCTGGCCGCCTCCCGCGGGGGAGCGGCCGCCGGTGGCGGCAGCGGGCCGGTCGTCCTGGCCGCGGGCGGCGGAGCGGAGCGGGCGCAGTGCGGTGGCACCGGGAGCGCGGGCCGCTCAGAGGCGCCGCGGGATCCCCGGCCGCGGGCCCTGCAGTCCTACCGGCGCGTCACCCGGCAAAGTTGGCTCCCGGCTCCCGGGGCGCCGCATCCATCCGCCGCCGGCGGGCCGGCCGCTGCGCGCTCCGCTCGGGCTTCCGCTCCGCCCGCCTCCGCGCCTCCTCCCTCCCTCTCCGCCGCCCGCGCGGCCGGCGGGCGCGGGACGCCGGGCGAGGAAGACGAGGCAGAGGCCGGGCTTGTCGCCCCGGGCTCCGCTGCCCGCCGCGGCGGTGCGATGTCGGCTCGAGCGCCGAAAAGTCTCCGCGCTGCCGGTGCGGCGCTCGGTTCCTCCGGCTGACACTCGCTGCAGGCAGGGCAGAGCGGGCGGGCGGTCGCGTCCCCGCGCCGGGCCGACACGGAGCGCGGAGCGGCCGGAGAGGAGTTCTTCCCTGGGCCGCTCTTCTTTTACTCTCCCCGCTGCTCCTCCGGGGCGGGGGAGCCGCACAATCTCCGTGAGTGCGCGCGCGTGGAGACAGACGTTGGCAAAAAAAAAAAAAAAAAAAAAAAAAAAAGGAGGGGGGGAGGGAGTCTCGCCCCGGCCGTGCGGGAGGAGACCGTCGGTGCCTCCCCGCTCCGGCTTCCCGGGGGGCAGGGTGACGGGGGAGGTAAGGGGGCGGGAAGAGGCGGGATGTGTTCAGGTCGGTGCTGTCCGCTCCCCCCACCCTTGTTTCCCTCCGATTTTTTTCCTCTCTGCCTGAGCGAGAAGGAGGGGCCAGCCGGCCCTCCCTTCCCCCCACCCCTGCAATGCCCGGCCACTTTTGCCTTCTCGAAACTTTCCCACCACGTGGGCACCCCGGACCCTCGCCCGGCTGGGCAGCGGGTGGCACCGACGGTCTCGCGGCCCGGGATCCCGGCTCTTGCCTCCGCCCTACGGCCGCGCAGGCCCTGCCCTGGACCCCGCTGCCGCCCTCCCAGGCAGAAGAGTCAGCTCTCCCCCGCCGAGCGGCCCGGCCCTCCCGGGTGCGCCCTCGGGGTCTGGCGAGGCGGGGGGGCGGTGGGGCGGGTTCGGGCCTCGGGCCTGGCCCCGTCGGTGGCTGTGGCTCCTGGGCTGCATTGCAGAGCCCTAGCGGGGCGCCCTGGCCGCTGGCCGCTGGGCGAGGTGAGGGACCTGCAGGCTGGGGGCGGGGGAGGCGGCTGCTGGAGGCCTGGCTGGCTGCTGCTTTCGCTGGCTTCCAGCCCCGAGGAACTCCGCGATTGTACAGGGATCCAATACCACTACCACCCACCATCCACCCACCACCCAACTGGCAAACCTTGGCCTCAGACAAACCCGGGTTCCAGTCCAGGCGCAGCCACTGCCAGCTTTGTAGGAGTGACCTTGGGTACGGCCTTCACCCTCTCTGGTCTCTAGCTCCTCATCTGAAAAGGGGGGACAGTCACACCTATATCACACCGGCTGGATGGGAGCCCCAAAAGAGGCAATGGGCCAAGCTCCTCTCAGAACCCCATCAACTCTTAATTCCAAGTTCTCTGCCACCAGACAAGAGGCAGAGGCGCTGTCATTGAGAACTGAACTCCCAGCCACGGCCTGACCCCCAGTGCAATCCATTCCTCTACCTTTCCTTACGCCTCCTTATGCCCCCACCTGGAAGTGGTGCAGCACCTCAGTGCTCACAGGGCGAGCCCTGTCCTCTCCCCTCCCTGGTCCAGACCCACCACCCACCATGGCCACACCCCATAGCACATAGGACGGAGGCCCCAAGGGGAGGGTGGTCATTTGGGCTTCTCTGGGGTGTTGGAAAACCTATGACCACCGAGGCAGAGCGTGCCATCAGGAGCATCTCAGGCCTCCCTGGCTGCCTCCGAGCTCAGCCGGACTGCAGCCCCGGCGCCCAGGCCTGCAAATCTGGAGGCTGAGCGCCCCCTCCCTCCCAATCAGAGGAATGGACCGAAGATGCCCAGCTGCTCCCTGAGGCAAAAATGAGGCTAGCCGGGTCTGGCTTACCAACCAGAAGGCAGAAAGAAGCAAGGTGCCAGAAGGGCCCTCGGGAGGACAGACCTTCTGCCTGTTTAGGGCTTTGTCCGAAGTCCAGTTCCCTGCTGCTCCCAAGCACAGCCTCTGTGCCTTCAGGTTTCCACCCCTTGCCCTGTCCCAGAGCTGTGACCCTTGGGCAGGAAGGAAGTGTTCTGCCTCCTGGGCAGCCTGGGCCAGCCCCCTCTGCCCCGTGGCCCTGAGCCAGGCTGGACCCACCTCTGTGGTTTTGCTTGTGTCTTCCGCCAGGCACACAGGTTCTGGTCCTCTGTCTTTTCCCATCACCACAGCCGTCAGCTGCTTGCCAAATTCTCAGTCCTAGAGGCTCAGCCCAATAGCTCCTACTTGGTGAGACCTGCCGTGGCTTTGTGCACCGAATGGTGATTTGTCAGATCAGGCCCTCAGCCCAGGGCCTGGCTTTTATCTCCACACCTGCCTGTCTCCTGCCTGGGGCCTCAACCAGGCCTGTGGGCCTGTCCGGTGCCAGACCTGGCAGAAGTTCTGGGAGCTCGTGAACGAACGCTCCATGGGTTGGTTGATTAAATAAAGGAACACGAGAAGACATTAAGCCAGTGGAGGATTTAACACCCTTCCCTCCCCAGCACAGCCCTCGCGGCTTTCCTTGCCTGCCCGGTAACAGCACTTCCTCTTGCGGGTGCCCCCTGGGCCAGACAGGGCCAGGAGAAGGGAGGAGGGCTCCTCGCCTTTGGGTACATCCTGTCCACTGGCCTGGACCTGGGAGAGGCAAAAGCCAGCGCATGCTTGCCAGTAGGAGGAGGGGAGAGGAGGGTCTATGTGCTCCCTGGTGGAGGAGCCGTCAGCCCTCTGCCGGTCCTCTGCTGGGAGGGAACTGGGTCAAGCGGTAGTCAGAAACCATCTGCTCAAGAAGCTGAGATTATCCCGCCCTCTGCTGATCCCCCCGCCTGGGGAGCTAAGGGTGTAAATTGAGTTCTTCCAGATCACCTTGTGCTTTGGTGGGGGGAGCCCCCGTCCCCTACGGAGGGGCAGGGACCTGTTCCTGTTGCTTCGAAGCTTCATTTAGCACTGGGCTCAGTTCTCCTCGTACTGGTGACCTCAGCCTTCCGTCTCAGCCAGGGAGGTGACCGCATCTGTCGGTTTTGAACACAGTAATGCACATCAATGCTGCAGCTGACGCCCTGGACATGGGCGACAGGGCCAGGCCTCCACACCCACAGTGCCAGCTCCCCGCTGCCGCCTTCAAGGAGCACAGGCCCAATGGGGAAGGCAGGAGGAAGCAGCACACTGTGGATATGGGCACATGGACCATGGAGAAGGCTTCCTTCAGGAGCTCAGAGCACTTGCTCCTACAAGTTTTTTTGCATAACCATAGGTAGCTGTCAGTCTGAGGAGGATGGAAATGTCCAAAGTGACAAAGCAAGCCACAAGAATGAGCCTCGTTTGCTCAGAGCTGGGAACGCAGGTACTGTTCCTGGAGACATGGCGTCTGCAGAGAGTGGGGTGAAGAGGACTCCTCACATCGGTGGGCGCCAGGCCCGTTTGGCAGAGTGGATGGGCACAGGGACCTGCTGTTCCTTTTGCACCACTGTCCCTGAAGCTGCTGTCGCCAATCACCGCCACCCATCACGCCCCTCCAGAGCGGCTCCCTGAAAGGAAGGAGCTGTCCTGCCCCAGGGCAGCCCAAGGCACAGAGGGGGACAGGCCAGGAGCCAGGTGTGACGCGGGACCCAGCGGAGGGGGCCCTGAAGGGCAAGGGGCCGATCTGACCTTGTAAATATCCAGACACCAGTGCTCTAGTGCTGCCTGGTTACAACAGTTGAGGTCACAGAGGCACGTCCTTGAGAAAGTGGGCATGAGCGTGTTATTTTGATAAGACAGTGTATTTCCCACCAGGGCAGCTGGGGGGGGCCCATCTTTTGAGGCCCCCAAGGCCCCCACATCCTTAAGGCCTGCTGAGGCCTCAGCAAGGATGCCTGTCATCGCTGCATCTCCTGAGCTCCTGGGACCCTCTCTGCTACTCCTCTGTGGCCGCCCGGCCCCAGCACGGTGCCTGCTCAGGGAATGCCGCTGGCCTGAGGTCAGTCATCACACGTACGGAGGAGGGAGCTGAGGCCCCCGTATGCAACAGGGTCAGTGGCCTGGGGTTCGAAGGCAGACTCCTGAGCTCCGCGATCAGCCCCTCCAGGCTCACGCATGCTGACACAGCAGGTCATGCCTCGTGCTCCCAGGCTGCTCCTAGACCAGCCTCCACCACGAACTCTCCTGTAGGGCTTCTCATCGAACCATTCTGTTTGAGCTGACTCCCTCCTCTCCAGAACCCCTAATACCTATTGTTTGTCAGCAGGGACCATACAAATCATGTCATCCTGG